GGAATTTTAGAATTACGGAATTCTAAAATTAAATACTCAAAAATAATTAATTGAGAATTAATTATTATTTAAATAATGTGATTATTTAAATTTGAATTTGAACATATCTAGATTTATCCATTTAAACTTATTTGATAAGTTGTTCAATTTAGAATTCAAATGAATTTAAGTTTGACTTAAATTCGAATTTGAATCTGAATTAAAATTAGACTACTGGATAAAGGATAAAATCTCTTCCTTCCCTATCTGATATAGGCGCCACATACAGGGATAAAACCCTAGAGGGTGGCTGGCTATTTAGAGGAGAAGGGGAAGGGATTTTTCGGTTCGAAATTCAAAATTGGAGATAGGGATTTGATCCTGTTTTGAAGTTTGACTTCTACTCTTTAAATATGAGAATGATAGAAAATTGTGGAGACAATTTTTGAACACATTATTCAGCCCTAATTGAGAGGTGGCCGAAATTCTCATAGCAAGGAAAAGAGAGCAAAATTTTTCTCCAAAAAAATTCCACATCGTGCATGCGTTGGTGTTTGTGGAAATTCGAGTGTTTAAGAAACTTTTTTTTTGTCTCACGTGTGCCCACACACACGTCTACGTGGAATCAAGGAATTGACGTGGAAGACTTTGATATTCTAAACACAAAGACTAGAGCAAGGACTGTTCGTGGTCAAAGAATTCAAGTTATCATCCGAGTCAGCTTCCAGGTATTTTTCCGGATTGAATTCTTGATGTAAATTAATGCGATTAATTTATTCGTGCATAAATTAATATAATCTATAGAGTATCTCAAAAGTTTTATGAAAATTTTTATTATACACGATCTGCCTTCCCCACGCTTCCGCACCCGAATTCGATTCGCGAACCAGCAGACCCTTAAACCGCCCCTACATGGGACAGAAAAGGGTTATAGTTGTGCACAGAGCTGTAATGGAAGACTAATCGGATGAGTGAACAGTGCGCAAAAAGTGATTAGTGGCCTACGGGCTGGGCCTAGAAAGGCAGACCACTTGAGTGCCTGTTCAGCCTACAGGAGAAAATCCCTCTAGCGAAGGAAGCTCGGCTATAAAAGGAGAGAAACCTCACACGGATAAAAGGTTGATCTTTCTTGAGAAAAAAGGAACGAGAGAGCAATTTGTAAATTGTAACAATCTCAAAAGGAATAAACAACCACAGTGGATGTAGCTCTTCATTTTATAAGAGTGAACCACTATAAACTCTGTGCGTTTTTCTATTTTAAGTATTTTTTCTTATATTGCTCACTACACAAAAAATACCACAAACACCTTCGGCACAAAACTTTTAGATATAATTTCAATTAAAGCCGGTAACCTGGCGGGAAACCTGGAGGTAACCCGATTTTTTTTTGTTGACGAAAATTCACCGTCAACAGTAGGTAATTTGGAAAGTTATAAAGAAAACAACCAAAAATAAATAAATAATCACTCTTATTTGCATGATTTTCAATTTTTGGATTTGTGTTCAATTGAATATTAGGCACTGAATTGTCGCCAACTTATCGTCTTTTTCTTGTTGCTATCTACCCCTACCTTATCCCATATATTTTATGTTTTGTAATTTGTTCCTACAAAGCTTCGAATCAGATGACGTCTAATCTTTGAGCGGATGCATTATTATAGAAAACTAAGCTTATTTTGTCCGATCATGGAATGTTATGGTCTAAAATTGAGAATTAAATTTCAAGCAATTTTATGAGACATCGGTAGTGCTCAGCAACACTCTATAATATAATGTAAGTCTCTTAGTGTGGAATCTATTAATAGGATTTACTTTCTATTAATAGTGATTCTTAATACTGATGGTGTTTCTAAACATTTTTCTTAAATTTCTAATTCCTAATTCCAACTAACTAGAATTAGGCTCCACGCAATTCAATATAGAGCTTAATTTTGTCTAATAGCATGAAATTTTGTACCATAGACTCGTCCTAAGAACCAAACTAAAGTCTAAATGAAAATAATATAAACGTATTGGTAGCTAAAATGTGTATTCGATCAACTCTAAACAATGCAACATTTAATAATTATATCTTAGTGATCAGCAAATAGCATTCATCTAATTGTTTTCATGCTTTATCGGTTTCTGTTTTAAACCTGAGACCTATTCTGCTCGTCCTTGGCAGCTATGAATTTGTTGGATTCGATTGGGGGAATCTGAATCTAACAAAGTCTCAACCATGAACTTCAAACCTGACAATTGGAAACAAGTAAGGCACTGTCAAGTATCTATTTGTTGTTTATTAGTTTGGCTATTTGGTAAAAGTCAAATTAAGTAATTAACTTGGAACGTATTGCTTTCCATAATTCCTAAACTTACTGATTTGGCGTGTTAATAACAGGACAAGAATAAAGAGATATATGAGTTGATTATATTAAATATCGTACAAATTTTTTTTTTTTTTGGATGACTGTAGTATTGAGTATAGATTAAGGTATCGTTTGGTTGTTATACTCAAACCTATAATTTTGATTTTATTACAATATTTTGCATCTCACAAAGAATTTAAATTTAAAAATTTCTTCTCTCATAAAGTTCTCACTAATAAATCAAAATCACTGACTTGAATGTGTTAAACCAAACATATTTTAAAATACTTTTATACGAATCCAGATCTTCTGTCTAAATTTTAGTATCTTAATCAGTGTTCAACCAATCATATCATACCACATCATCCTATAATAAACACAACAAGATTAGTAAATTACACATTTGTTTCCATAGTTCCCACTTCTGTCAACCTCAAACATTTGGTATTCTACAATAAAATATAATTTGGCAATTCATTGATCCCTCTCTTTTGGATTTTGTTAAACATTCTTTCCCCTTCTTATTATTATTATTATTATTATTATTATTATTATTATTATTATTTCATCAAACTGCGTCTCTTGAGATCTTTTGTTCCAAAAATAAAAAAAGGGTGATCGTTTAATAGGAAGATATCAAAAGAGCATTTTTTGTTCCATTTATTCCCGAATTGTTAGTTTGCAGGGGCTTTTTGGTTGGCGTTGGCATAATTTCCTGCTAATGTTTCCTTAGAGGGGCATGCTAACAGCATAGTTCAGTAGGTTTCGGGGGTTGCTTAAGGCTTCCTGTCCTGCTACCTCGTGAGGAAGGCTAGCAATGTCGTGGTACATAAATTTAGGAGACATTTGATTTATAGATTAAAATCATGTGATTAGAATTATTTTTTATTTACGTGTATTTTTTATGAGAGAAAACACTATAACAAATTATGAACCATGATTCAAATTATGGTTTGAATCCTCCAACCAAACAGCCCCTTAATCATTGGGCGATTTCTTCTTCTATTTTGTGCTAATGACAACTAGTTCTTAATTTTGCAAACCTCTATTGGTAAGTTCTTAATTTCGTGTCTATTTTGTGGAACTTCTACTTTTACTTTTACCCAGTAGAAAAAAAAAATAAAAGTCGTGACTTTTTAATAAATGTTTAGTAAGAGTGTTCACTAATGGGATCACACAGATTATGGGTCAATTTATAATTTAATCCATTACTTCGAATTGTAAAATCATACCTCTAATCCAATCTGAAAACAACGGATTTAACCAATTCGCAAATTTTGCCTATGTTTTGGGCTTAAAACAAATTTAAAAAAGCTCTACCAAAAAGATATTCTTATACTGAAAAATGAGATAAATACTTACTTAAATTATATGGATCTTAATTTTTACCGATTATTTTTAATTAATACTTTTTTAATTAAATGTTATATTAGTAAACAAAAAGTATTAATTAATACTTCTTACTCTTAAAATATAAACCTATACATTTCTAAGAGTAAGTTTATTAATTTTCTATTCTTTTTGTAGTTTTGTTGTCTCTAGCCTTTTTATGTGTCTAAATGAAATCGTTTTGTGATTATATTAAAAAGGAAATGTATCACAGTTTAGTTACATGTTTCCTTTTAGGAAATCTAATTCCATATTGGCATTCACAAATAACTTTGAAAAAATAATTAGCGAACGTTTGTTTTTTTTAATTTTTCTAATTGCTTATCATTCCCAACCACAATCATTTCATTAACACAGTACCTTAATATTCTAGTGCAAAAGCTCTTTTTTAACCTTTAGCCAGTTCACTCCGAACCCAGTTCTTTTCTTTTCGCAAAGAACAACTCAATTCCCTTTTACCTCAGAAGTTACCATCAATTGGCTCACATGATCACATCAACAAAAGTATACCAAATTTGACAAACTGATAAGGAATTTTCTTTTCTTTTCTTTTCTTTTTTTTTTTTTGGGTAACATTTTCCAATCCAACCGAATCCAAATGGTATTTCCATACACACACACACAAAAAAAAAAAAAAAAAAAGTATTCAAAGCCTACAGTCTAAGACAAAAAAAAAAAAAAAAAAGGAGAAATATATATATTCTTTTGATATTTTATTCCCATGTTTTGTTTGTTTATTATATGTTTTGAGTACATTGTTCAGATTGTTGTATCTCATATCTATCTTACTGAAAATGAATATTAAATATTAAATATTGAATAGTGAATAGTGAAGCAAAAGAGTCCAAGTCCCAACCACAAGCATTTGGCCCATTAGCCGTCCTCATCCAAAAATATTAGTAAAACTCCCCACTCACAATTGAAAACCATTTTAATTCATTATTTTCTAATCATCAAACTCAAACCCAAATCAAAATCAAAATGCAACATTTCAAACCAAAACCAAAAAGCCTACTTTCTATGATCTGATTGAGTTGAATTTCAAGTGACTTTTAATTGCATCTCTTTCGTTTCGGTGGCGATGAAGAAGAGGAACAGAAATGGCGAAATTTGGGACTTCGAGCACGAAATGCCGGTGGTCGCCGGCGCCGGAGACGTGATACTGGGACTCGACGGCGGCACCACTTCCACCGTCTGCATTTGCATGCCGATCATCCCCTTCTCCGACTCTCCCTCCGACCCTCCGCCGGTTCTCGCCCGCGCCGTCGCCGGCTGCTCCAACCACAACAGCGTCGGCGGTTAGTTTCGCCTCTCTCCATTTCTTCTTCGCTTTTCTTCTTCTGCAATCTCAATTTTACAAATTTGTCTTCATAATCTCCGTCGTAAGTTCGAAATCACTTTTCCGGCAAAAAGCAAAGTTCGAAATCGCTTGCAAGTCAATTGACTAAAAGTGTTTTTTCGTCGTAATTAGCTTGATTTCTATTTCTTGCTCAGCATAAAAAACTAGCTTGATCTTTTAGACCTCACTGAATTGAAATATCTCCATACGAGGCTAGCATTATTTTTTTTGGTGGATGTTTTAGACCTTTCTGGATTTGAATGATGTTTTTGTGTGCGTGCATATGGTAATTTTGCTTAATTTATGGTCCTTCTTCTGCACCAGTTGTCGTTTGTTTGATTGCTTCGAGATCACTTGCAATCAACTGTTGTCAACGACTATCATGTATTTTTTAAGATAGTGTTTTGTGGTCGTAAAGTTGGCTTAATATGGTCCTTTCTGATCAATATTCGATTCTAAGATGCGATTACCTTAATAACTGGTTTGTGAGTGTCGTTGGTAGAAATTCTTGTATTTAGTATGTGAACTATCACTTAGAAGTGTAGATATTTTGTATTTAGCTTAAGTTTCCAGAATGGTTTAATTTTGTTTTTCTGCCTTTTGTTATAATGTATGAGCTTTGTTTGGAGGGTCTTTCTCATTCCACGGAATCTGCAAGCTTTTTTTTTTTTTCCTTTCTTTTTTCTTTTTTGGTAATCTAGTTTCTTATTATGCACTACTGCTTGTTCTGCAATGTAGTTCCCTAACAGCTGCTATCTTACTTTCTTTAAGGGTTTTCGTTTTACTCAGTGAAGAGCGATATGGTTTTATGACTTATGACAATATATGTCGTGCAAAGTGTTGGCGAGTATTAAGATTGTTTTGTTATAATGATATCCTTTCTACCTCTTCTAGAAGCTGCTGCCAGGGAAACGTTGGAGAAAGTTATGGCAGATGCACTTTTGAAGTCGGGTTCAAACCGATCTGCGGTACGAGCTGTTTGTCTAGCTGTCTCTGGTGTAAACCATCCAACGGACCAGCAAAGAATACTGAATTGGCTTAGGTACTAGTACTACCTATTTCTTGTTGGGTTGTTAGTAACTTTCTATGCTTATTGACCCTTCCCTGTGTCTCGCATTGGCTCCTAAAAACATGAATCTAAAAGAAAGAGGCCTAATCTCCTGTAATCCATCCTTTTCATTGTGTAGAATTTCTTATTTTCGTGATTTACGTTTACATAATCATTGACCGTGGAAAAAGGGAAAACAATTTTCCTTCTATTAGTTGGCCAACAAATTTTTTTTTCTTAACAGAAGTTGCTTATTTGGTATATGATTCTGTTTGCAAAGGAATTTTTAGAGATAGTAGATTGATAGCGTCCATCTTGCTTGTATCAGTTCATAGATTCAAATTCAATTTTTGTTCTTGTCTCAATTTTTTTTATTTTTTTTATTTTTTGCATGACCTTTTGCATGGGCTACCTAGGAATGGGTGGTTTAAATTTCTTTCCTAGATCGCTGCACTTTTTTGTTCTCTGAACATACTGCTTTAGCTGTAGAAATTTAATTTTCTGGCCAATAATTGGGGGAAAAAAAGGAGAAAAAACGAGAAAAGAAAAACAAATTCTCACTCTTTATAAAAAGTAATTCTTAAATTGGATTTTGATGTTAACAGGTATATATTCCCAAGCCATGTAGGACTATATGTTCAGAATGACGCTGTGGCAGCACTTGCTAGTGGCACTATGGGAAAACTCCATGGATGTGTTTTGATAGCTGGTACGGGGACTATTGCTTATGGATTCACAGAAGATGGCAGAGAAGCTAGAGCTGCTGGAGCGGGGCCTATCTTAGGTGATTGGGGAAGGTATAGACTGTTGAGTTGTTTTCAATTTTTGTCCTCTCTCTCTCTTTGTCTTACACGCGCGCACACACACATATACCAGACTATGCGAGTTGGTACTCTTTATTGGTAAAGGATTTAGGGCATACTAAAAGTAATTCTATTTCGATACAATGTATAATATGCATTAGATAGTAATCAAGTATCCCGAATACGTTGCGAGCCAATAAATCATTAACAATTTCAATCTTTTTATGATTCATGAGTCCCATTCTGATATCATCTCAACAAGACACACACAGAATGTAATGTTAGCAAAAATTATGGGGCTATTTTACCTATGCAATTCAAGTCTGGGCCCTCGTTCTATAGCTCAACCAAATTAGGAGACTTTTTCTTATGTGGAAGAAAATGTGGGCACGGTCAAACTTCTAGACCAAACACAATATATTAAAAGTAAAATTTGCTTTATCCGGCTGCATTTGTTGGGTAAACTCTTTGTTTCACCATTACACTGGTTCTTTTTATCAGCCATATTTAAAATTATATTATGGTCTAAATGTTGCTTCTCTATTCATCATTCAACTTTTCTTTTCACTTTCTGGTTATTTTTGGTTTAGAGGATGTCATGTCTTTGCAGTGGATATGGAATAGCTGCACAGGCATTAACTGCAGTGATAAAGGCCCACGACGGCCGTGGTTTAGAAACAATGCTTACATCTAGCATTTTAGAAACGCTTGGCCTTTCTTCTCCCGATGAACTGATCGGGTAAGTATCTGAAGCATATATTTCTTGCTGTCACTTATGTGGTAAATTGAATTTATTAGTATTCATTTGGTATTTACTCTGCATCCAATCTTTTATCCATCCTTTTGAGAACATAAAATCACAAGGTTTGTTTTCATCAATTCATCAATCTTTAAATTGTTTGTTAGCAGTCCCTTGGACGGCCTTTGTCAAGAAATGCTATTTGCATGAAAATTGAAGCTCCTGTAACAGTAAAATAATGGATGTAATCAATGTTGTTTGATGTTGCTCAATTCCATTAGCCAAATAGTGCCTTTAATATTTTCCAATTTGTGTTACAAATGTGAGGAAATCTATGTTGTAGAAGTTGAAATACCATTCTTTTTGTGGTATGAAATTAATCCAAAGTTTTGATGATATGTATTTTCCCCATCATCCTCTGTGTATATGGGAAGTTGATGATTTCTATATATGTGCTGTAGTATACTTGGTAAATTGAATGCGGAGTGTCACGTGTAATATACATTTGGATATACGGTCACTGCTCTTATCTATTTTTTTTCCCCAACTGGAATGTAGGTGGACTTATGCAGATCCATCTTGGGCTCGCATTGCAGCACTTGTCCCGGTTGTCGTATCTTGTGCTGAGGCTGGCGACGATGTTGCAAATAGGATTTTATATGATTCAGTCCACGACTTGGCATCAAGTGTGAAAGCTGTTGTGCAAAGACTCGGCCTGTGTGGTGAAGGTGTTGCATTCAGATCTGACATGAGATTATGAGATATCTTTCTTGGATTTCTGTTGTGTGATATAGGCTTGAAGTCATGCGCGATCAAGTAAGGCATTGATTCGGATGGACTAACCAGAAGAGAGAGAGTATTCATATCTGACAGCCTTAGAATATCTTTGTGTGTGCGTCATGAGAGAGAGGGAGAAGGAGAGGGAGAGGGAAGGAGAGCGAGGGGAGATAGTGAGGCTGTGAATTTCATTATTTTGGTTGGATGGGAGTAAAGCTCAGTTGACGTTTGACAAGAGATCTTATGCATGTATGGATAGCACTAGGGAAAATTAGAAATTCTAGTTAATGAACCATCATAACATTTCGAATCCCTTATTCATATGGTGCTAATTTCTAAAATGAAAATTATAGTACTTGGAAGTTGAAAGTTATTATAGAGTTCTTCGCTTGACTACAGTGATGGACTTTGTCTTTAGTGTCAATACTGATATCATGTGCATAAAACATATTGCAGATGGAAAACACTCCTTTCCTCTTGTCATGGTTGGCGGTGTTCTTGAGGCAAATAAAAGATGGGATATAGGAAAAGAAGTCATAAGGTGCATCTCTAAGTACTATCCGGGGACAATTGCAATTAGGCCTAAGGTAAGCTTGTTTACCTTTTCCTTGTAGTTCTATGTTAACTTGGGGCTGTTTGTAGTTTTGTATTTGGTGGACTGTTAGTTTACCAATCCATCCCAAAAGCTTAAGCTGTTAGGAGGTGGATCAACAATAGTTTTATACTTTAACACTCCCCCTCACGTGTGGGCTGGAGAATGGGCAATCATGTGGGTAAATTAATTAGAAAGCCCAACACGTGAATATTTAAGCCCGAGATATATTAAAGACCCAACACATGATGACAATTTAAATGGGAATAAAAAGTGCAATTACGGGAGTTTGAACTCAAGACCTCCCGCTCTGATACCATGTTAGTTTACCAATCAATCCTAAAAGCTTAAGCTGTTAGGAGGTGGGCCAACAATAGTTTTATACTTTAATATGGACACTCTTGCTTCTATTTAGCAATCTAAACCCATTTCCAGGCATTTGAAAAATTGTAAGAGTGGCCTAATTGTTCTTTCCTTTCGTTATGGAGAGTTGAGTTTTTTGCATATAAAGTCTCCGTAGGGAAAAAGGGAAAAGGTTAAATGGGCCTAGAATATGGAGAGTTGAGTATTGAGAAAATTTGTGAAGTTACCCTTTGAATGAATTGTTCTAAGATTTTTACCCTTTACATTTGAGAGTTGAGTATTGAGAAAATTGGTGAATTCACCATTTGTATGCATTGTTCTAAGATTTTTACCCTTTACTCTTGATTAATACCCTTTTGATTGATATAATTCTTTGACTAAAGGGTATTAATCAAGTGTAAGGGGTAAAAATTTAAGACCAATACATTCTAAGGGTATTTGTCTCTTTTTCCCTCAAGTATTTTGCATATAAAGTCCAATGAGAAGAAGGGAAAACGTCACTATGGGTGGAACATGAAGAGAATGGTCTAACCACACCTGTACATGGATTGGAGGTGTATTGGGCCATTCTCTTATTTAACTTTAAAAGAATGAGGTAGCACATTGATAAATGCTGTACCATAAAAAATTCAGTAAACGTGGCCCTGTAGGTACTAGCGCATTATATACTGTACATTAGGTTTAAATTTTCTACGGAAGTGGTATCATTCGAATACCGATTCTCTAAAAGTGGTATTCCTTTAATTCACCCGTGTATATACATGAACAGATGAAAACTTCCTGTGGTGGTTACCTCCCAATGTGAATGCATGATAGATGGATTTCAATGCATCTTTTGAGCTTTTATACATGTAATATCTTTGTACATGTACATGTGTGTTTTATACAACTTCCGTGTATTTATTTTCCTCAACTCAAAACCAGGTGGAGCCTGCAGTTGGTGCGGCGTTGTTAGCTTGGAACTTTTTCATGAAAGAATCTCTGAGAGGAAACTTAAGCTGACTATTGAAGATTTGTAGGTCGATCAATTTCAATTGTACAGAGGAAAAACAATCAAGAAAGTGGGAACACGCAGTCATTATCAAATTTACCCATGTAGTATTGGTATATGGTCTGCCCAATTGTTTTGGCAGGCGAAATTTTTTTGGATGTATATTTTTAGTCCATGCAAATATTGTGACAGTTTCATGTGTATCAGAATTCTTATTCATATACCAGTGAACAGGGTAATAGTTTGAATTATGATAAGGCCGTCATTTGCTTACACCCCCTAATTGTTGTATATTCAATGTCTTCTTCTCTGGTGACGTCTTGAGGATTTAACTTTAGCGTGGTTGGAAGGTGTCATTTGAAATTGGTTAAGGTTAAAGACAATATCATAAAATTTCTTCCAGTTTTGTGATCAATTGATTTCTACCGTACATTGTCCTTTTTCTTCATTTTCCCTTTCTTATCAATAAAGATAATAATGGTGCTTTAGGGCACGTTACTAATACATAATTCATAATGGACTACAGGAAAGGTAAAGGAGTTGGCGGGAAAAAAAAAGATAAATAATGAAAGAGATGATTCAAGTATATATTATTAGGAACTAGAATTTCATTTCTAATTTATCAAGTAAACTCAATGAGTAGAAGGAAAGGGAAATATTCCTCTCCTTTTTTTTTTATTTTTTATTAATGCATAAACTCACCTTTGGATATGGCATGTCATTCACTCATGTATAGCATTTTAATGGGAAAATCACAAAATACCCCTTGTGTTTTCTCAAAATACTATTTTTCGTCCATCTTATTATGCAAATGCTCAAAACATCCATGTATTTATAAAAAAGGACCTAAAACACCCCCTGAAGCAATTAAATTTTTAAAAGTGTCATAATTACCCTTCTAATTTATATTAAATGCCATTTAAGATATGATTTAACTAAAATGTTAAATTAAAATTTTTTAAAAATGCTCAAATAAATATTTCAATTCACGAAATACTTCAATTATTTTAAGAGGTTTTCTTTTTTTTTTTAAGATTGATTTTATTTAATATTTTGGTTCAATCATGTTTTAAATTGTATTTAATAAAGATTAGGAAGAATAATCTTAGTACTTAAAAAAATATAATTATTTCACGGTGTGTTTTGGTATGTTTTTATAAATACAACGGATGTTTTGGGTATTTGTATAATAAGAGGGGCTAAAGTGGTATTTTGACAAAACACGTGAGGTATTTTGGGTATTATTCTCATTTTAATTATAAACGCAAAAATAAAAATAACGTACCATATAAATATATAATTGACATTAACATTTGCATTAGAGATAATCCAATCATTTTAATTTTAGTCACCTCAAAACTCAGGCCAAATTTAAGGATACATATTATTCTTTGCTCAGTCAAAGTTCATACCTGTAAATCATCCTCTGATTTTTGTTCCTCTTATAAGTTAGAGGTGGCTGATATCAATTCCCTCAAAACGCTACCGTTTTGGCTTCGGCCATCGACAGATATGAGAAACCAGATTTTTTTCACCATTGCTGCTAAGAACTTGCTCACCATGACACGCACATCACAAAAACAACGCGTTCCCTAACAAATTCTTCTTTAGAGACATTGTCTTTTTTCACTAGAGTTTGTAACATAATCAAAAAGCTCCTCTCTTCTTCCAAGGAAAAGCATTATCATCTATATGTGTCTTGCACAAGAAGTAACAATCACCCCATTGAAAAATACAAACCAAGGCTGTTACACCTTACTATTTCTGGCTCTGCCAGGTGACATTTGAGGCTTCACAAGTGTAAGCAATCCAAAGTTTCACATAACCGCTGCCTCATCATCGCTCACACTAAACATCACTTACCCTCATCACTTCTTTTGGACACATCCCACATTGAAACAACTATAAATACACGCTCAAAATTCCCCCATAAAACACACAAAGCAAAAGAAGAAAATAAAAGCTCCAAGTGCTCAAAACAGCATAAACAAAAAGCCCTTTAGTTGTCAGCTCAAACAACCGAAGATGAAGAAGGCCTCAGCTGTTGCAGTCATGTTGGTTGTCGTAGTCATGACAATGGTGTTCATGGCAGAGCCAGGGCAGGCCATAACTTGCGCGCAAGTGGACATTGCCCTGCGGCCCTGCCTTGACTATTTGAAGGGCACCACCGGGCAACCCCCGGTGGAGTGTTGCAATGGTGTCGCGAGCATCAAGCAAAACACTCCTACCAAGGCTGACCGACAGGCGGCCTGCCAATGTGTCAAGAGAGCCGCTGAGTCATTAGCCGGATTGAGTGATGATGCAGCCAAGAACCTTCCCGTTAGATGTAATGTGCAAATTAGCGTTCCTATCTCTAGGAATGTCAACTGCAACAAGTAAGTTTGTACTGTCGTTAATTTTACTATAACGAGTACTCACCGAATCGTGACGGTCGTGTAGGAATATTATTTTTGTTCTCTTATTAGTTTTGTATAACTTCCATCTTTTGCTTATTGCTTTCTTGTTTGTTTTGGTTTTCTAGTGTTGACTGAATCAAGGCAGCGATGGAGTGAAGAATAAAGGGTGTTGGGCTATCTTCTTGGTGGCTATACATCTAGCTTTGGACGTTGTTTTGTTATGTGGTTCTCGTGAGAGAGTCATGCTTTATATTTGGGGTATTCGGATACTTATATGTATCTTGTTTAATGAATAAAAATAAAAAGTTTAATTAATAATATTATTAATGTTTTTATAAAAAAAAAAAAAAAAAGAAGTTTGTTATTCCGATTCGAAAGATACCTTTCTTTTGCTGAGGTCACTTTTTTTTTTTCTTTTTTAAATATTTTGTGCCATATTTGCCTTGATGAATTTGTATAGCTAAGTTGTTCATCATGAGTCTTACGTGCAAAACACCCGCTTCTAATACGACAAGATAAAAGAGAAAAATTAAAACTAATAAGGAGATTTCTGGGATAGGGATTGAGAAAATGAATTTCTGTTTAAAACTGTTTTATTCTGTATTTTTTTTTTATTTAATTTGATGCAATACTGGCTCAACTACTTTTAGGGCCTTAAGTGAAGTTTTTAAAAGGGGCTTTTTTAAATAAAAGGTTTTTCTAATAAAACATTTTACCTTGAAATAAGAAAAAAGAAAAAGAAATTTTTTTTTTATTATTCAATATAACAAAATATCTTATTGTATCTAAGACAAAAGGAAAGTAATAATCAAAATAAGATTACAACAAAGTTCAATGCTATAATTGTTGTTGAAAATACAATGTTAAAACTCATGAAAAGCTTCTCTGCCAATAGTAAGCATGCTTCTATACTTGAGTGACAAATGAAGGCCCCGTTTATTTTGCTGATTCGAGTTTAAAATTCGAGTTTTTTTACAGTAAAAAGCTCTCACAAACAATCACATCTAATTTTTTTGCTACAGTAAAAAACTCTTACATAAAATCACATCTCAACTCAAATTAAAAACTCGAATCAGCGAACTAAACGGGCCCGAAGCATTCACCAAAAATCCATAGAACCTGACAGGATGACGAAACATATAAAAAAATAAACAAAGAAGCATCTATTCAAAAATTTATTTTTCATGCCTTTTGTGAAGCAAAAGTACTAAAATAGCTTAAATAAAATTATATATATAAAAAAAGCAATACTTAGCAAGTAAATAAGAAATGAGTAAGAAAGATATAACCTGGAGATTTACTGGGAAGATAGATAGTGGCCATACAGCCTTGTGAGATCTTAGAGAAAAGATTTTTGTTTTGAGATTGAAGAGATACCATGTGAAGAAGAATAGCTGTTTTTTTTATTATTTTTTATTTTCTAATAAATAAAGATGAAACGTGAGAACAGGAAAGGAGAGTAGAGTTACGATTGAGTTTTTTTGTTAATAATTTTTTCTTTTTTCTTTAAGGCTCTTCAGTTTTTCGTTTTTTGTTTTTTGTTTTTAATGTTTTTCCTTAATACAAATACAGACGTTGGGATACTCCCAATTCCCAAAAATCTCTTCGACAGTTTAAAAGAACCGGAAACATAAAGAGAGACTGAAAAAAAAAGCTTTACACTAAGATAAGGAGATGAAAACAATACAAATTTCATTTTTAAAATAAGATAGTGGCTAAAATATAGGCCTATTTTTTAGGAAAAAAATTTGAGGCCTTCCAAAAAATGGGGCCTTAGGCAAGTGCTTTACATGTCTAGACCTTCAGCCGGTTCTGATTTGAGGTGATTTAGATTAAATTTTATTGTCAAAAACTAGCATTATTGGTAGAAACTCCTACTGTAGAAGGACCCAATTATTTACAAGTTGACATCATTTATTTCATACGTTTAAACTCATAATTTTAATTCTGTTACAGTGTTTTTCTCTCATAAAAAATTTAAATTTTAAATATTAAAAGCAAGAATCATTGATTTAAACTCATTAACCAAACGGACCTGTTGAGTTTGTCTAAAAATCTTGCAATCAATGGAATGCTTTTAAGACCCTGTTCATTTCAAGCTTTATTTATTTAGACATGGTTAGATAAGCAATGAAGTTCAACTCAAGCAAGCACGGAGATGAGCACGAACTTGCACTAGAATAAGGTTGCGCTCACACAAAGTTAGGTTTGTTTTACGCATTTAAACTCGTGATTCTAGTTGTGAGTATTTTTCTTTCATAAAAAATTAAATAAAAAATTTTCATCAATTAATTTTCTCACAAAATGTAAATTTAAAATTAGAGTTTTTTGTTCATCAGATCTATATAAAATCACGTAAAAGTCAAAAAATACTTAAATCTAACAGTTAAAAACCTGACCTACCAATAAGCTAGACGTACTAAAAAATCTCCCATGATCATCGTGAATTCCTTCTTATTTCAATATGTTTTACATCCCTATATGCTTATTAGTTTTCTTCCAAAATGTAGGGTTCTGGTATTGAAAGCGATTGGATTAAATCTAAGGTCTCGTTTATTTCATCGATTCGAGTTTTCAGTTTTAAATTTCTACAGTAAAAAACTCTCAGAAAAATGTCGCATCTAACTTTTCTGCTACAGTAAAAAACTCTCAGAAAATATCACATCTCAGCTCGAATTGAAAACTCGAATCCGTGAAGTTAACGAGGCCTAAAACACCATATTTTGACGATGGCACAATGAATTTTATGAATCAATTAAACTCGAGAAAAATTGCATGGATTATGACTTTTTTATGTGAGTATATATGTGTGTGTGGTTGGCCAGAATCTTGCTTCCAGTCCTCCAAAGATACATCATGGTATTTCTGAACTAATATCATGACATTGACCTATCAAATAAATAATAAAAAAAATAAAATATACATCATGACCTATGTTTGGGCACAGTGGTACCAAGCTCAAAGATAGACAAACTTCCATCATAAAATCCTAAGTTGCATTCAAAAAGGCAAAACTAAAATCATAAGCTTTTGCATAAAAGCTATAGTCCAAGTTTCTCTAATTAAATTTCAAAATTGTTTTTCTGGTCCTCTTCTGAAACAAAAATTACAAACCCCTATGTAAAAGTGTTTGATAATAGCCAGGTCATTTTCATAACTTTTACCCAAAATAATACCCCAAAGTTTTCCATTGGCAAAAAAAAGGAAAGGCGAGGAAAAAAGAATTATTATTAGAATCTAAGGAGATTAGATCATTAGATCCTCTACCTAGAAAACAATAAACAAATTGCTCTAATATATGGCTGACAATATAGGTCACGACACGATAATACGACTAAAAAATGATACGAATTTCGTGGTTAGAGTTGAGAAAAAAAGAAGTTCAGGTCAGAATTAGATATACCTGAAATTGACACAAAAATACGAGTCAATTTCGAGTTAGACTCGTCTAACCTGAACATGATACGAAACTCATAAAAAACTAAAAAATACATATATTTTTCATTACATATTTTTGATTTTATTATGAACTTATCATGATAGTTATACTCAAAATCTTATACTATTATTTGCTTAATTTCAATAGATGTTATTGTACTTTAAAGTGTTATGAATTTTAAATTATTTTTAATATGTAAAAAATTAAATAAAAGTACACAATTTTCATGTCAATTTCGGGCTCACGGGTTAATTTCGTATCACGGGACATTTTCGTATCGTGTCGTATCAGCCCATAAAGTGGTCGTGTCGTGTTCGTATTGCGATTTTTAAAAAATTTCGTGTCACGGGTCGTGTTTAAGTTGACTGTAAATTAAAAAAAATAATCAAAATACGACACGAATACGATACGTGACACGAATTGTCACCCATACTTTAACAACTTACTTTTCTCACTCTTCATTAGAAAATAACTACCTGCTTGAAATTTAATTGATATTTTTCTACCAAGAAAATGAAAAATAAATGCAAATTTTTGCAACCAAGCCAAAAGAAAAAAAATAATGGATATCAGGATAAGGATGAAAAATAATAATCTCCTTATATTTAATTTTTAAACTTCATTTATACATATTTTCTTTGAATCCATAATATTTCATTCATTTACAATTTGGGTCCCTTGCTTGCAATTTTGTACAAAGCAATGGACCGTTTATTTATGTTTTTATTTTCATTTTTTACATTTTTCAAGATTAAAAAATGAAAATGCAAACTGAAAATGTGTTTGGCTTAAAAGTTTTTGAAAAATAAAAACAAAAATATTTTTGTCTTTTTTGAAAAAGTGAAAATGAAAAAAACCTGTTTTCATTTTCTGAAATTTTCTAAAAACGGATATTTTTTTTTCTTCTCTCTCTTCTCCACCCCCCCCACTCTTCTTCCTCGCATGTAAATTAACGTTCATTTAATATATTATTACATGTTTTTAAAAATTAAACCACCAAACACAGTTTCAGTTTTTTTTTAAACTGAAATCAATCTCTGAATAAAACTACCAAACGCATTTTCAGAAATGATTCCAAAATAAAAATAAAAATAAAAATATTTTTATTTTTATATAAAAAATAAAAACATTTTGAAACTAATTCCAAACGCATCCAATAATTCAGTCACCCATTTGTTTTAAGAGAACGGTTGGAAATTCCCAAAAGACAATTTTTTTTCTCCTAAACTAAAAGAAATTAATTAAAATTTAATTAAAAAAAGAAGGAGAAAAAAGAATGGATAATTGTGATGATTGCTTAGATACAGCTAGCTTAGCTAAATCTAGGGCAAAAATATTTTTTTTTTTTGTCCTAGATTTTGGTAAAGATTTCCCTTTTTTTTTTCCTTCCCTTCTCTTATTGCTTCTGACAGCCATCCCTATAGGACATTACCCCACACCTCTCAAACTTTCTGTCCATCTCTTCTCACACATGAAAAAAAGAGCAAAAAAAAAAGGAAAAATAAATAAAAAAGTGACAGCCCGCAATAATTACCACTGTATTAATTGACGGTAGACCAAACCAAACCCAAACGAAGACCCAATAAAACCTCTCCACCGAAAATCCCTCTGTCTCTCTCTCTCTCTCTCTCTCTCTCCTCTTTCACTTTCTCTCTCTTTCACTTTCACACTTTCTCTCACTACACACACTCTCTCTTTCTCTCTCTACTCAGCTGCGCAAGCAAAGCTTTTATTTATTTTTATTTTTATTTTTATTTTTTCATTTTTGTTCTTGTTCTGTGCATAGTCAAATCCGAAGCCGCGAGGAAGAGAGAGAGAGCTTCGAAGCAAAAAATGGCCGCCACTTCCAGCTCTCAGTGAGGGCCCAAGCTTTCTTTTTTCGCTCATTATCTAGTTTTGGGGAGGAGCAAGTACTGTTTCTTGTGTACGGCACGCGCTTGGAAATATCTGAGATCTGTGGATTCTAGGGTTTTCTGGTACGAAGCTTCGGTTGTTTGAGCTCTGAAATTGGGGTTTTCTTGTTCCCGAGAAGGTTTTGCTGCTCTTCCATGGCGGTTCGTGTTGGGGTTAGGGTTGGGACGAAGATCTGGCTCGTATGAAGGTGAGAGGGTGGTTTGTGTTCTGTATTGGGACTGGTTTTGGATGATATTTCGCGACGGTGGAGTTGATATTTCTGGTTCTGAGCCTGGGGGGGTGGGGGGGTGGGCTTGCTTTTTCGTGACATTTTCATGGTGTACGGACCAGAAGTTGTTGATGAGAAAATGGGTCTTATATCTTTGATGAATAAGAAGAGGAGAGCGACAGAGAACTAGTATTGGAAATTCTTCTGTTTGAAGCTCTTGCTTCGGTGAAACTATTTTTTTGCTGGTTTTTCTTTGTTCTTTTTTCTTGCTTTTCGTTGTGAAAGAATGAGGCTCTCTTCTTCTTCTTCGTCGTCGGGGTTTAATCATCAGGCTCAGGATGGTAAGCTGTTTTGTTATTTACTTTGCTTTGTTTATTTTCGGAGCGTTTTAACTGTGGGTTTCTTTGCATTTCATGGTTGACTCTAAAGTCTGGAGTTGACTAGCTAGTCATACTTTGTTTGACTTGTTAATTGTGTGCGCGTTAAACTGGAGAGCATTGAATTGACATTATATTAGCGCTCTTTTTAATATTGAGTTATTCAGTTTATTTCTGTTTGAAGAGCTAATATATGGTAGTTGAAAGGGATGTTTTAGGCAATTGTTGTCGGCAGGCATTAGCATGTGTATTGTTTAAGGCTAAGTTTGGCGTGATTGACCCACATTATATATTATCAAATTCTCTCTTCTGTGCTTATTGTTATTTTAGTTGGTGACGTGTTGTATTAGAATGGATGATTATGCTTGAGAGTGTTGAATATGCAAGAGAAATAATTAGTGAAGTTAACTTTACTATCGTTTAATTGTTATCGTTGTTGCTTGAACCGTGAATTTATCTGTTAAATTGTACTTTGTCACCTGCATTTTGGCAATGACTTGTATCGCCGATTGTTATTGTTGAAAGAGAATTTAGTGATATGGAAATCGTTCATGTCATGCATATTAATGAGTGTGGGAAATGTGCGCAGGGGAGAAGAAATGTTTGAATTCAGAGCTATGGCACGCATGTGCAGGTCCTCTGGTGTCTCTGCCTCCCGTGGGAAGTCGCGTAGTCTACTTCCCCCAGGGTCATAGTGAGCAGGTTGATAGAATTGGATTTTTATGTCATATATTTTTGAAGCCTGTTTACAAAACATTTTTCTGTTAACACTTAACAATTGATAGTTGCTCCTTCTGTTGTTGAGTGGTTCTACTTCTACAATGTTATCATATATTCTGAGTGAATGGCTTTTTGTTGTCTAGATCCTAGGAGCAGTTTTAGCCTTCATGCAGAATGCATGAACTATGTTATGATCTTTATGGAAATATACTTAGTTCCCATTAGTAGGTGTAGTTTTAAAAGTAAACTGTTAGGTGCTCTAGGATATAGATCGTTAGATATTAAGCTCTATGATGAATAGGTTTTTTTGAAGGAGAATTTATAAGAAATTTTTTGCTTCTTTTATAAGTTGCTTATTTGAAACCACTTTTACGTGGTATTACTCAGGTGCTCAATGAGGCCTGATACCCTAGGTTATTAACAAAAAAAAAAAAATTACGTGGTTATACTCAAAATAGATGTATGTAACAATTTTTCTTAAAACTCTCAAAGTTGATTCTTTTGGTGGCATCTAGAATGTTTTAGACGACAAATCTTCTTGCTTGGTGGCTTGTATAGTTTAGAGTAACATGATTTTTCCTTTGGTTTCTATTATGTTCTCTTAACCTTATTCCTCTCTATTTTCTGTAATTCCTATTAATCCTCAAAGTTTTCCCACACAGGTTGCTGCTTCAACTAACAAGGAAGTGGATGCCCATATACCCAATTACCCCAACTTGCCCCCACAACTAATTTGTCAGCTTCACAATGTGACCATGCATGTAAGTGAAATTGTTTTTGCATCTGGTCCTGAACATTTCTTTGCGCTGCTTCTGTGACCTTTTCTATTGTGATGAACAGGCAGACGTGGAGACAGATGAAGTATATGCTCAAATGACCCTACAACCACTGAGTCCGGTACTCATCTCCTTGTTCGGGGTTGTTTATTTTATTGCTTTTTATTTCTTTACATATTTACATATGTTTCTTCTGCAGCAAGAGCAAAAGGATGTGTACCTGCTACCTGCAGAATTGGGTACTCCTAGCAAGCAACCAACCAATTACTTCTGTAAGACATTGACTGCAAGTGATACTAGCACTCATGGAGGGTTCTCTGTTCCCCGCCGTGCAGCTGAAAAAGTCTTTCCTCCTCTTGTAAGTATCATTTGTTTATTGGCTATTTCTCTTTAAATATTCCTGTGTCCTACAAACTTTATCAATCATTCTGCTCTGAGTTGTTCTGCAGGATTACTCACAGCAGCCCCCAGCTCAAGAACTAATTGCAAGGGATCTTCATGATAATGAATGGAAATTTAGACATATATTTCGAGGTGAAGTTAACCAAATTTATTCAAAACTCCATTGTTTTAGTTGCCAGCGTTTATGATTCTTTATAGTAATTTAAATATCTTTGAAAATTTTTGCAAACTCCTACTTTTGATGGTAGAAGGGTAACCCGATCAGCCACTGCTATTATGGTATGTTTACCTACACGTAATCGGAATGAGCATGAATCGGAGTGGGCAGGATTCAGAATGGGTAGGATTCGGAATGAGGAATCGGAGTCAGAATAAGCTGTTTACTTAGTGATAGGATTCAGAATTGGAGTCATTCTAAATCTCATTCATACGTTTACTTACAGCCATAATCGGAATGAAAAAGTGTAAAAGTACTAATAAACCCTTTAAATCAATTTGATATTTTCAAATTAAAAAATATAGTGTACTTATTATATTAAAATTAATCATAATTAAAATATTTTGTGTAATAATTGGGTACTAAAATAATAAATATATGTTGCACTTATTATTTTTTAAATTTTATTTTTAATTGTGTATTTATAAGTAAAATAAGGGTATAATAGTAAATTAATATTAATATTAGGAATGAGAGTCTCAATCCTAAGGGGGGCATGGGAGTGCCAATCCCATTCCTCAATCTCAATTTTGAGTGAGGCCCACCAATCTCACTCCCATTCCAGGATAAAAAAGAACAAGTAAACATGGGATTGACTCTCATTCCCTACTCCCATTCTTCAATCCTGATAAGTAAACATGCCATTATTATGATTGTGTCTCAATACATATGTTCTAGTTTGAATTTACAAAATTCTAGAAGGTACTGTTTATGTTGGATTCTACCTTAATACTTTGATCCTCAATCCTCATTATTACTGTCACTGCTTATGGTTTGTGTCTTGTGGAACTTTGCTTGCTAGTCTTCTATAGCAATTATCCTCAATGAGAGCTATCTTGCATAGCTGCTATTATATGATTATTTCAATACATATGTTATAGTTTGAATTTACAAATTTTACAAGCCATTGTTTTCACTGGATCCTACCTTAATTCTTTGATCCCCATCACTATTATATGCTTATTGTATGTGTCCTCTGGAGGTGATCTACTATGCTTGTATAGTAATTATCCTGAATAGGTCAGTCTTACCGGAATCACAATTACATTTTCAGTATAAACGCCTTACTGTAATATTGTCAACAAGGGAGTATGCTGCTTTTGTGAAGGAGACAGACCAAAGAAAGCAGCAGTGAACCCTGTACTGCGAAGCCCCAACACCCCCAACCCCACACCCACTCACCCACTTTTTCTGTTGCTCATGTCTGTTATCTATTTGGGAGTGTAGCTCATTTATAAGTCATGGAAGTCGATAGTGGATGACTTAATGTGGCAGGAAACATTGATGCCTGAAAGCTCAATTTTTTGCTTTCTATTCTCATGTTTTGATGACCTAAATGGATGAGAAAATTTACATCAGTTGCTTCCAAAAAAAAGTACGGATAGAAAATATATTGAAAGGAGGGAATAAGCAAGAGGAAAAACCAGATGGCATAGTTAACGCTAGTCAAACTTCATCTAGTAATCAGGTTTTGCTTTAATTTCTTTCACCTAGGAGAGGATACAAGTGCAGGTCTCTAATTGGCCAATATTACTCAAGAATTGTAACATAATCATAAGTGAGAAATCTATTGTAGCTCATCTGGATTATCTTAAGACTTATTCACACCTCACGGATACATGTGTTCTAGTCCCATATAATTGAGGTTCTTAATTTATTGGTATAATTGATAGCTCTATTCATATCTTTTATTTGGTGGATGACGTCTTCTAAGCTAATTTATGTTTCTTTCCAAAAACAAGTGCACATATGCTATATCTGACATTCCAGCTTGTAATTTTCTTTTTTACTGTTTAAATGAGCAGGTCAGCCCAAAAGGCATCTTCTTACAACAGGTTGGAGTGTGTTTGTTAGTGCGAAGAGACTTGTTGCTGGTGACTCGGTTCTTTTTATCTGGTTCGAATTTGGATATTCCTATTAGTTTGTTCCTCATGTCATGGATGTTTTTGCAAATCTTTAATTTAATATATATATGGTAGATAAACGTGAATCAACATATCTAGAATTATTATCTATAGTTTTCTAATTTATGAATCTATGCTGGTTGTCAAATCTATGCTGTGAATGAGCCATATAGAACAGTATAACTGAGTTTAAGTTGCAAGTATTTTGCGAGGTACAGAGAATGTGGCTTAATTTTATTTGAGATAAAGTATACTCTTCGTTATGCTCAGTTACTCTAGCATCTACATCATGTGTTTGGGTGGTGCGGCTGATTTTGGCCAGCATAGACCGTTGGTTGTCTTCCGTTTTTTGATTGTAAAGAATGGGTGAGATATGAAAGTTGTCTGTTAATAAAATTATTCCTCTAAATGCTTGTATTCAATCAGGAATGAAAAGAATCAGCTGCTATTGGGTATCCGGCGAGCGAATCGTCCTCAGACTGTCATGCCCTCATCAGTTTTGTCAAGTGACAGCATGCACATCGGTCTTCTTGCTGCCGCTGCTCATGCAGCTGCCACAAATAGCCGATTTACTATTTTCTATAATCCAAGGTGAGTAATATCCCTGCGCTGCAGGTTGAAAATTTTTTATATGTGTATTTTATATAAATTTCTCCCGTTTCAGGGCTAGTCCCTCGGAATTTGTCATACCTCTGGCAAAATATGTCAAAGCTGTCTATCATACACGGGTTTCTGTGGGCATGCGATTCAGGATGCTATTTGAGACTGAAGAGTCAAGTGTTCGTAGGTAGGTGTTGAATCTCTTCATAGACTACTGCTTATGATCACATATTTCTATTGGAAATTCAATCAAATTTGACCCAATAAATCAAACTTAGTTGTATGAGATTTAATACTATCTCGCTTCTTTTGAGATGATTTAAGAGTATAGTGTATACTATCTTTTCATTGGTCTTTCCTGTTAATTTACTGGTTTGCTGCTTGGTGGTTGTGTTTCTTTATTTTGGTGTCTTGAGGTAGGTATAGTATATCCTGTCATGGTGTGTGCAATTGCAAGTTTCTTTATTGTTATTTATTGGTCATGCCTATTGTCTGTTTATCACAGTAAGGTGAAAAACACCTGTTATATACCTCCGTAATCAATTAGGGTGACTCTTTTCCACAGTGAGATCACTGATTGGCTAATTTCATCAGTCATTCCACTGGTTGATGATAGATCTTAATATAACCAAACTGTGCTTTACGTTATTCTACATATTATCAATCTTATAGTGCTTAACGCAAAACAAAAACTGATTCATATTGAACGTACCAAAAGTGATAGATCAGTTATATCACACTTTCAAGCACAGACGTTTCCTGAAGTACAAATTTTCCATTTCACGTCTTTTCTAGTCAGGCTTCATTTTCTTCCCGTGCTTTCTTCTGGCTATATTCTTGTGTTAACTTTTATAGGTATTGTACTGTCCCGATTGATACTTTTTACTTGCTCTGGTATTTTCAAGTTGTATTTCAATACCTAGAGTTTATAAATTAAGAATATTTAGCAGTTAATATTCTCTCTTTTAGATGTTCATAGTCTGACACTTGTATGCAAATTCAACTGTAAGATACTTTGCTTACTGTGTTATGTATTTGGCCAGATACATGGGCACAATCACTGGTATTAGTGACTTAGATCCTGTTCGCTGGCCAAACTCACACTGGCGCTCTGTCAAGGTTTGCAAAATCACTTGATCATTCGTGATTAAATACTTCCATACGCACAAGTTTTAGTTCAATCTTCATAAAAACTATGGTTCATTAATTGTTTTGTATAAATGCAGGTTGGTTGGGATGAATCCACTGCAGGGGAGAGACAGCCAAGAGTCTCTTTATGGGAGATTGAGCCTCTAACAACATTTCCAATGTATCCGTCTCCATTTCCCCTTAGGCTCAAGCGGCCATGGCCATCAGGCCTACCCTCTTTCCACGGTATGAATTATTTCTTGAGGTTAGAAAAGAAGGCTTTCTTGACCATTGGTTAAATTCATTTGTTTTTATTTGTTTCTTTTAATATTTGAGTCAGCACTTAAAGACGGTGACATGAGCATTAACTCTCCACTAATGTGGCTCCAAGGAGGGATTGGAGATCAGGGGCTTCAATCATTGAACTTTCAGGGGCTTGGGCTTGCACCCTGGATGCAACCACGGCTTGATGCTTCCATGGCAGGTGTACAACCAGATGTCTACCAAGCAATGGCAGCTGCTGCACTTCAAGAGATGAGGACAGTGGATCCTTCAAAATCAACACCACAATCTCTTCTGCCATTTCAACAATCTCAAAATGTTTCCAATGGACCTGCAGCTTTGCTTCAGAGGCAACTGTTATCGCAGTCGCAACCTCAAAGTAGTTTCCTTCAGAGCTTTCAAGAAAACCAGGCTCCAGCTCAGGCCCAGCTTATGCAACAACAGTTGCAACGGTACCACCCATATAATGATCATCGGCAGCAACAACATCAACAACTACAGCAGCAGCAGCAGCAGCAACAGCCTCAGCAACAGCTTCAACCTTCACAGCAGTTGCATCAGTTGTCTGTTCAGCAGCAGATTCCAAATGTCATGTCTGCTCTACCTAATTTTTCCTCTGGAACTCAATCCCAATCACCATCTCTACAGGCCATCCCTTCACAGTGCCAGCAGCCAACCTTTCCTGATCCGGTTGGAAATCCCATATCTTCATCTGATGTTTCCCAAATCCATAGCATATTAGGTTCGTTATCCCAGAATGGCGGATCCCAGTTACTTAACTTGAGTGGTTCCAACTCTGTAATTGCTTCTTCGTCCTTGTTAGCCAAACAAATCGCAGTTGAACCACAAATTCCTTCTGGGACTGCTCAGAGTGTACTGCCCCAGGTGGAACAGTTAGCACCACCACAGTCAAATGTTTCTGATCTCACTTCTTTGCCTCCATTTCCTGGGAGGGAGTACTCTGCATACCAAGGTGCTACTGATCCACAAAGCAATCTTTTGTTTGGGGTTAACATTGATTCTTCATCTCTCATGATGCAGAATGGGATGTCCACCCTGAGAAATATGGGCAGTGAAAATGATTCACTTTCGATGCCATTTGGTTCGTCAAATTATTCAAGTGCCACGGGCACTGATTTTCCCCTTAATTCGGACATGACTACCTCAAGTTGTGTTGATGAATCGGGTTTCTTGCAGTCTTCCGAAAATGGGGACCAAGTTAATCCACCAACAAGAACCTTTGTGAAGGTAACACAATTGCCTCTTATTTTAACAGTTTAATTATATAAAAAGCAGTTGAATTTTTTGGATCTGTTTGTCTGGGGTCAGTATCTTATTTGAATTTCCTATCTTCAACAGTAATTTTTGCTTGCAGATTTTCCGGCACTCTTCTTTTTGATGTTGCTCACAGTTTGTGTGTTGCCTATTAAAATACTATATTTCTGTCAGGTTCATAAATCGGGGTCCTTTGGGAGGTCACTGGATATTTCGAAGTTCAGCAGCTATGATGAACTGCGCAGTGAGCTCGCACGCATGTTTGGCCTTGAAGGCCAACTGGAGGACCCTCAGAGATCAGGCTGGCAGCTTGTATTTGTCGACCGGGAGAATGATGTTCTTCTCCTTGGTGATGACCCTTGGCAGTAAGTCCCCTATTATATTTATATTCTAGCGTACACTTTGCATATGCAATTTTGATACCTCGAATCTGTAGATCATCAAATATTTGCTACTGGCAAGTTGAATTTCGATACTGTTTGCTGACTGATTTATCTGTTTGTCTCCACTCTTCCGTGCACACACACACAGATTGTAGGATTGCTGTCTGAGGACGTTGTTAGTCTCTCCTTTTTCATACCATTGACATTAATTGGATTAAACTTGTAGATATAAGGCTCCATTGATTGATTTTAAATATCTGAAAAATTATAGGGCCGATTGTAGGTCTAGCCTTAATAGTAATGTCAAATGCTTGGAGGTGAGCATTTCAAAGGCGGGTTTTGATAAGATTGGATGTGTGGTGTAATTCTTGCAATGATTGGGTGCCTGTATGTTGGAGAACATCTTGATATAGGTTCGTATGTAGGAGCTCCTCTATAGTGACAACTAAATAGGTTTTGCATTCTCCATTTTAATGGAAATTCTTGGGAAATACATATATTTAAGAGCACAAGATCTTATATTGATATCAGCCTTGCACAGGCTGGATTTGCTGTTATCCATTTGTAGGATTTGCTTAATGGAAAATGTCAGAAATGACGGGGAACATTGTTTCTGTAGAAGCGAGAAACGTTCTAGAGCATTAGTAAAAGCTGTTAAATTATCCTATTACATCAGTGTTATTATATTCAGGAAGTTGTCTTTAAGAAGGTAAAGAACGTTGAAAACCTGATATGTTCTTACCAAGTGCAAGTAGAAAAATGAAAAGTACACTAGAGTGATATTGGGTTCCTAAATGATGGGGCAAGAATTTACCTCACATGAAACCAGATGTCTTGTGAATCATAATCTTTTACCTCATAACTCATATCGTACCTTCTTTGTTTGCTTGACGTTTGTGGTCTGCCAGGGTGCATGTAAAGTGATTTGACCTTTTAAACGGGCATTTCCCCCCACAACCAAAAGAAAAAAAAAAAAATACCTTTAAAAGGGACAGTCAATTTGTTGGATGGCAACATTCAATACAAGGTGGACGTCAAGAGTCCAACACAATGATTAATATAAGATCAATAAATGTGGATGTTTATTCCTCCGTAATGTTAGTGTGCTTTCAGTGTCGGAAGCCACATGGATTGATTGCTATGCCACCTGCATTTATAATATAATCAATGACTTGTAAATGATTGTTCCAGTTACAACTAAATATTAAATAATACGCGCCACATTCACCTAAGAGCTTAGAAATTTGAGTTTCATCAAGTAATATATGATTGAACATGTTTTACCCTTAATGTGTCTTCTTTGTTCAGATTACTTACAAATTTGACGAGGATTCTTTTGTATACCACACATTCTTGCATGTGCAGATGTTTAATTATTATTATTTTTCACAGGGAGTTTGTAAACAATGTGTGGTATATCAAGATACTGTCTCCACTTGAGGTGCAGCAAATGGGCAAAGAAGGCCTTAGTCCTGCTAGTTCTGTCCCAAGTCACAAGCTTTCCAACAGCAATAACGCTTGTGATGACTACATCAGCCGACAGGACATGAGAAACTCAAGCAATGGGATTCCCTCGATGGGCGACCTCGACTACTAAAGGCAAAGTCTCCAATACTTGGATACTCGGAAAGCCGGTTGCTGTTAAGTGTTATTAACTATTCTAGTACCTTTTTTTATGTACGGTTAAGAGCATTCTTTTACCCTTTTGTGGCCAGTAAAGACGTAGTGCTTGGCAAAGTCTACTTTAATTTGCATGTCAGCTTATTACTGTATATTATAATAGGATACCTGGTTTCACAAACTACTATTATAGCCCTTAGAACAACAACACGTATCCCTCAAGAGAATGATCTTGATGGCAATTTGTTTGCTATCTTGTCATGTAATTTATAAGAGGAATATTTTAATATTTTCGATTTTATTGAACTCTGAACTTTTATGATGTTAACTTATGGATTATCCATCGTTATTTGCGTACCAAGTCTAATCTTTTCCGCCAGAATTATTTTAGACTAAGGTTTTGATCATTTCACTAATTTGAGTTTTCAATTCTAATTTTGTCACCGTTAAAAATTCTCATAAAAAGTCGCATTTAATTTTTTTGATATAGCGAAAAGCTCTTTTAAAAGTGATACATATATATACATGTATTTAAAGTTGTTATTTTTATTATTATTATTTTTTTAACTCGATTGGGAATTTGAACTCTAAACTTAAATCATTGGAAGGCATGGGTGAATTTATTATTAGGCTGGCTTATAATCATTCCAAGTGATATTCCAGGTTATTCCAGTTGACCAGTCAATGTAGCTAGCTATTCACCCACATTGAGATCAACTGTTTTTGTCACATTTTTTCGGTTCTCGTTTACGTTAAGTGTCTGCTCCAAATTACTTCTTGCATAGTTTCTCCATTTATTTATTTATTTGCTGAAAGTTTTTCGTTCTCTCTCTCTCTTCTCCCTTATGCCTGTAATCGTGGGACTCGGATTGCTGAATATCATGCACGTGAAGCTTGCTAATTTCTTAGCTTATGTCCATGTACTCTGTTTATAATAGAATCTTTATCAACCTTTTTTTAATTGATTGTTCACGGGTAGTTGATAGATAAATAAATTAGTTCCGTGTTGAATGGAACTAAAATATGCTTTGCTCGTGTAAGATCCAAGTTCTTGACTCGAGAAGGAAATTGTACATAAAACAGTGGAGTGACCAAACTATATATATATATGGCCTAGATCTCTGGTTTGTACGAGAAAGATTCTTCTTAAAATCAGTTGATCAAATATTCAGATCCAGCCCGACGGTGGGAATAGCAAGTGCATGGCTGCAAAGGTGCTGCAAAGGTAATGAGCCAAAAACCAGAGTATACTATAACTGAAACAAGTGCTGTAGTGCACTGTTAAAATGACGACCCACTATTCAAAAAATTGATGCAAGAGTTGACCTAACGTGCCAACTGGCTGCACGAAATATATATATATATATATATCTATACATTTATATTCATATGTAAATATATATTTATAGATGAATGTACGTTGCCTGCATTAGTAATAATCAAGAGTTTTCTTAACGATAACTACAAATGTTCTGATTTGAGTTTCATTTTGGGAAAAAAAAAAAGTAGGATGGTCAAAGTGATTATTGTGATGTTCATACCTTAAGAATTACAAGAGTTTTATTTCACCAATTCGAGTTTTCAGTTTTAGGTTTCTACAGTAAAAAACTCTCAGAAAATGTCACATTTAATTTTTTCTATTACAGTAAAAAACTCTCAGAAAATGTCACATCTTAGCTCGAGTTGAAAACTCGAATCTGCGAAGTGAACGAGTACATAACCCAAAGGGGTAGCTCAGATTGCATTCTTAGGTTAACCCAAAGGGATACCCATTGGTTAATAAAAAAAAAAAAGGTACTATTTCAGATTGCATTCTTAGGTTAAGATTAAAAATAAAACAGCCCAGGAATCAGAGAAAAATTATCCAATTATTTAATTTGAACAAATAAATTGCTGCAACTGTTGCCACTTATTGCTGATCTCACTTGATGTTGAAGCTTGGTTTAAAATAAACTTAAATTAGTTTAGATATAATCGCCATGTGATGGAAACGTTTTGGAATCACCAGTCTTTCTTGATATATATCTTCGTACCGTATAATTGGACATGTTTAACTACAACTTAACATCATAGTGGATAAAACTGATGAGATGTGGTGTAATATCATATTCACTTTAATTTTCTCATTTAATAATTTTTAATCAGGGAATTAGCATGTACTAATTAAACACCACTGTTCCCCAAAGGTTTTTACTTCATTCGTAAGGCTTGGTTGAAAAGTAAGACAATCATATCAAAAAGGTTAAAAACCCAAGTTTTATGGTAAACTAAGATGCGTACCTTCCATCATTATTTTTGCATATATATATATATATATAGGTGTATGTAATATTTGAAGTTCATATATATATATATAAATATATATTTATATTTGTCAAAGCAGAGAGAGAGAGAGAAAATGGATTTAGAGAGAAGAGCATGGTTGAGGTATATGTAATATTTGAAGTTCATATATATATATATATATATATTTATATTTGTCAAAGCAGAGAGAGAGAGAAGAAAATGGATTTAGAGAGAAGAGCATGGTTGAGGGGAATATGGGAAACATTAAAGGAAATTCTTCTTCAGAAAATATTAACATATCATCTTCGTTCTTCTCCTCTTGTTCTTCCAAGCCATTTGGAGGGTCTCAATGTTATTGTCACAGGAGCCACTAGTGGTATTGGTCTCCACACAGCCAGGTTCTCTCTCTCTATATCATCTCTTAATTAATATTTCTTCAAATTTCTCACTTCAACAAAAACTTGCAAAACCTTTATATCATAGTTTTATTTTTTATTTTTTATTTTTTATTACACATAAATTTAGATTACGAAATGGATTCTCACGAAATTTTAAATTATGTTGGTGCAATGAACAGAGAACTTGCGATGGCCGGAGCCCATGTTGTGATGGCTTGTAGAAACGTAAATGCAGCTAACGAAATTGCTCAGCAATGGAGACAAGATGCGTATCATGGAAGAGCCTTGAATGTTAAGGTAACTATAATACATGAAAAAAAAGGATCTTAAGTTTCTTATTTCTTGTATTTTTGTTTTTGTTGGTTTTTCCCCTAGTTTTGATCCCAAAAGTTATTCCGCCGGTAATAAAACTTGTTGTTGCTTTCTTGTTCTTATTAGAACATAGTTTTTTCTTCAGTATTATTATTTGTTAGAAAACTTTTTTAATTTTTCCTCTTCCAATTAAGGAGGGATGAGGTATGGCTGCCCTGCTTACTAATTGACTTGTTTTATTATGACACGGGAGCTGTTTTATTATTTTCTTTTCTTGCGAAGACTTCTGATGATGATTTAGTCCATTATGGTTTCCTTTTATTATTATTATTATTATTAGTTATTATACATAAAAATTTGAGGCATCCACAAAATCCAAACTGTTACAAACAAAGATGTTACAGGAGTAGCACATAATAATAATTAATTATAGATAATATTTTTCTTGTGGCTCCTAATATTACATCATATGTACATGCTATAAAGTGTCTTTACTTTCTTTGTTTTTGTTTTTTATTAAGTGTTTTTACTTAACTACTTGCTAGAAGCGTGCAAGAAAAAAAAACTTACTTGTCTCTTCAGACCCAAATGGAGTCAATAGTCATGCAACCTTTTTTTTCATAGTTGAACCCAAGGCACCAGAAAATTTTTTTTTTTCATAATCAACTATAATAAATATACTGTGCCATTTATTGAATATTTTAAAAAATTGATGATGCCAAGAAAGATTTTAAGTTCATATGAATAATATTTATCTGTTTTGTTGACAAAGACATTACAAAAAACATTATATACAGGTGATGGAACTGGATTTGCTCTCTCTTAGCTCTGTCCGGCAATTTGCAGTGGAGTGGGATCAACATTTAAAGTCTCTCCATATTCTAATCAATAATGCTGGAATCTTGCGTATGGGAGGTACCTTATTTTCCTTTTCATCTTTCAAATTTCCCCCTTTTTTTTTATCCTTTTTTAATTTTTTTGCCCGACGCGAGAACAGGAAAATCAAAATATTGGCCTAAAGCATATTATTGACGTAAAAGGAGGGATTTAAGCTTATTTGCTATTGCTTAGAAATCCTAAAACTTCATGAACAATCCATTAGACAAATTGAGTTCAATTGGGTCCTGTCCCATGTAGGGTATAGGATTCGACTCTTATACGTTGTATCCCCTTAATTTGACATGATATTATTGAGGACGTGAAAAGGAACACAATAAAGAAAAAAAAAAAGAGATAAATACCCTTTAAAATATGCAAGTCTTAAATTTTTATCCCTTACACTTAATAGCTCAATTTAATCAAGTTTAGAAGAGAAAATTACAAATTTTACCTCATTAAATATAACTTACTAAAAGTATCATTTTTGAAAAATTCTACCCCTTTACTAGTTCTAGTCTAAAAAGTACAAATATGTGGGCTAATATTAAGGAATAGAAATAAAAAAGACTCAATTTCAAGGGGTATTTTTAAAAATTTTCCGGACTCAGTCCCGCGTGAAAATTAGACAAATAGTGAGAGGAATACTATTTTTAAAGGATTGAAATTGGAATACACGGTTGAATTACTAGACTAAAGTAGTATTCGGCTTAATTTATACAATCATTAATATGGTGTATTTATCTTCCTAATTAATTGTTAAAAATCATTGTTTTTCCTGAAGAATGCCTTCGTTCATTGCGATTCGTGTAAACTTTCTATTCAAAATTTTGAAAGTAACATACATGAATATTGTACTAGATCACATTAATTAAATAATTCAACATTTCAAGGATTAGGATAATTGAAATGGTTGGTACATGTGGAATTTGTTGTTTTCTCAAATGATTTTTCAAATCCATTTAATTATGTCAATCCAAAATATATATGTCCAAAACTTAACCTACCTGAAAAAAAAAAAAGAAGAAAAATCCTTTTTGTGGAACTGACAATAATTAAGCTGCAGAGAGACAAGAATGTTCAAAAGATGGAGTTGAGCAGCATTTGCAAGTGAATCATGTAGCACCGGCGTTACTCACGCTCTTGCTCCTACCTTCTATGCTCAAAGCCACTACTTGGCGTGTTGTCAATGTCAACTCTGTGGTATGTTATTTTTGTTTTTCTCAAAATTACTAATGCTTCTATTCTTTCCTCTATATAAATTAGGGATAATTGCCGAAATTTACCTCTAATCTCACTTTGATCCACGTTTTAAATGTAATCTCAATCTATAGGTTTGCTTTAGTTTAAGCTCTTCTTCCGGTTAGATGTTGACGTAAAATACTAACAAGACATCATCTATATTTCTTCACCTTTTAGACAAATGAAATGCTTAAAATTGGAACAAACTGATAGAATGTATTCAAATTAAAATAAAAATTAGTGAAAGGTTCCAGAACCATTTATGAGAATTAACTTTTTTACTACAGTAAAAAGCTCTCAGATAAAATCACATCTCAACTCGAATTCTAAACTCGAATCAGCGAAGTGAACGGGGCCTTAACCTTTCTATCATGTGTTTTTACCTAAAAAAGTATTACATTTTATGCCATGTGACACAACAATACTTAAGAGTAAAAAGTTTTAAATACCCTCAAATGAATTAGAATTTTTTTTCTCTCTCTCCTTCTCTCCCTCTCTTTTTCTTTCTCTCTCCTCTCTCTTCCGCAGCCCCCTCCCTCTGATTTTCTCTCTCTCACTCTCTCCCTCCCTCCCCATCAGCCCCCACCGTCGGGATCTCTCTCTTCCTCACTTTGCTCTCTCTCTCACTCCCACTCCCGTGCCCCCGTGCCGCCACTGCCGGCCCACACTGACACCAATGGCGATGCCACTCCCTGCCGATGTAGCTACACACTCACAGATTTTCAATCTCTTTTAGGCCTTCAATCGGGCTTTTCTGTGATTACAAGATGTAGCCTAAAAGAGATTGAAAATCTGACTAACTGGAAAAACTCAGCTAAAAAAAGCAAGATGTTTATTAGTTTTGTTCGTTGCTTTTCGTTATATATATATATATATATAAAATATATTTTTTCTAAATGTGTACGAGTATAGACACATCATTGGGGGATGGTGGAATTGAGATCTTGGAAGAGCAGAATCGAAGAACATAAATATAGTGGATTGAAGGCGTATGGATCGAGCAAACTAGTGCATGTATGTACTTAAGAAAAATGATTCTATTTATTCAACTGACCAAACGGTGTCTTTATTACCACTGCCTTCTGACTCTCTCTCTCTCTCTCTCTCTCTCTCTATATATATATATATATATATGTATATACATACACACTTTTCATGTGTAATTCAGCTCATGTTTCTCAAGGCCCTAGCTAGCAATCTTTTAGACCAAGGTTGTAACTCAGTTCAATGTGTCGCAGTTCATCCCGGGGTTGTTACAACAAACTTGGTAACCTATGATAATCCATACCAATAACTATTATTTTGATTAACTTTTTTCTTTTTCTGCCCTTTTCTTTGTTTATTAATAATTCTCTTATATGGTGTAACGTTTTTATATAAACGACGAATTAGGTTCCTGGCGTCCAGAAAAAAACATTTTGGAGGTTTGAACCATCTGAAGGTACAATTAATTAAACGCAGTAGTTGTACTAAACAATACCATTGTCAAGTATATCATACACTAGTAATTATTTGAGCAAAAAAATTGTCAGAAAAAAAATTACTACGTCAATTTCATATACTTTTTTTTTTTTTAAAATTTGAAATGGTGTCAATTTGACATTATAATGATTTATACTGTTTCTTTGCAAATTTTTGAAGGGGCAAGAAGTGTGCTCTACTGCGCTACAAGTAATCAGGTGGTAGACAAAATGGTTAAGGGTTTTGCATACTACTCTAGCAACTGCAAGCCGGCGAAAGTGTCACCCCAAGCTGCAAAAATGGAGGCTTGTCTGGACGTGTGGGAGGCGACATTGAGTACTTTAGATTTGGACATTAATTATCTCAGATTCAAGTTAAACCCATCGTGTATTAGGGATTAATACAAACAAGTTCTTGTTAAATATCGTAAGGAATCAGAGATAACTTTTTTACTTTATGTAACGGTTTCAATATAAACAATTTTTTTATTATCAAAACACCATGCACGTTATAATGTGACTAGTTAATTAACCGGCCAAGCTATGACATCACAGGAGAAACAACTATACGCTTTTGTAATAAAGAACAAGTATACCAACACAGGAGAACAAGTATACAAACATTTACAGTAGTAGAATCATCTAGCTAGGTCTTTTTATTTTGTCATCATTAATTTCAGTGAAAAGTAACGGTCGTATCATGCCAAAGAACTTCTTGATGAATACCATGAACTTTGCAAGACAAACAAGTAAAACAAATTGTGAGGGAAACTCCGATTCTTTAGTCCGCAACTAATTAGTTAATGAAGTTAATGAACTTCATTGACAAGCCAAATTTTGATAAGGTACACACCCCTTGTCTAATGTGTGTATGTATATATATAAATTTGTTTTCAATGGTTACGTTTCCATCCGTAGTTACTATTAAATATAAAAATTTGATGACGTTGTGTGATAAGAATTCAGTTTCATTAATTGTCATTAATTTTTTTGATCAACTATCTAATTTATTACAACTATCGGATTAATATCTTATGACTAAAATAACAATGCCCATGGATGGGTAAATATTCTAATAACCATTAAACAACACCCATATATATATATATTATACGGATGAATTTTTAATGGTTACGTTTCAATTGGTGGTTACTACTAAATATGAATATTTGATGACGTGATGTGATAAGAATCTAATCTCATTAATTATCATAATTTTTATGATCAATTATCTAATTTATTACAACTATGGGATACGACTAAAACATTAATACTCATTAATAAATATATATTTATTTATATATATATTTGATTTTAATAGTTACTCTAATATTTATAAAAAAATAATAATTAAAAACTGGTGTATATATTTAAAAAGAATTACATTTCAAAAACCATTCTTAAAATATAAATTTGACTACAAAAAGCATTTTAGAAGAAATTAGAGAAAAAATGGAAAGGAAAGAAAGGAAAGAGTTCAAGACTTCAACTAAAAAAACAAATAAAAGGGGAGAAAAAGCAAAGAAAGCAGCGATTTTAGAGTATCTCCAAGATAATGTAAATATCTACATCCGTACCAAAATTTAACATTCGGGTAAGAACTAAGAAGGCCACCTTTAGCATCAAATATAATATATATGAAATTTTAGTATTTCATTATTTATTGATTAATGTAATTGACGTTTTCACTTAATAATTACAATAATCTTTTTCAAACACTTTTGAGTGTATATTTTTCATTTTATATGTTATGTACGAATTAAGTTTATGAAAAAAGTTGATGCAGCATTTTAAAATAGCATTATACCTTATATGACAAAAAAGAACAACATATATAAAATGATACTTTTGTATTATTGTGCCAAATATAGATAACATTGCCATTAGCTTTTTTTTTTTTTTCTTAGAATACGTATTAGTATTTTTTTTTGTTTGTTAAATGTATACAATCTTATACTGTTGTTATTAAAGGGAAGTCTATTTGCATCAATCACCGATAATGTGAGAACCATTACAGATAGTCCAGACCTTTATTTTTATTTATGTATTTAGTAAGAGGCACATTTTGGCTAAACATAAGAGGTATTTTGTACATTTCCTTATAGATTATATTGAGGGTAATTTACGTATTTTAACAATGTCAAAGTGTGTAATTTTCAATAACAAAATAGATAAACGTAGTATTTTGAAAAAAACATTATGGCTAGTTTAGGTATTTCAAAAAATAAAAGGGATAAAAATAAAAAAATAATATTTTGAGTAAATACCTGAGGTGTTTTGAGTATATTCCCTAGGGTAATTTACGTATTTTAACAATTTGATTGGTCAAAGTGTGTAATTTTCAATAACAAAATAGATAAACGTAGTATTTTGAAAAAACATTATGGCTAGTTTAGGTATTTCAAAAATAAAAGGGATAAAAATAAAAAAAATAATATTTTGAGTAAATACCTGAGGTGTTTTGAGTATATTCCCTTAAAATAAGTACAGAAAGCAAAGAATTTTCACGTCATCTGTTTTGAAAAATTTTGCTAGAAGTTGTTTGCATTATATTCTAATCTTCGATATTACAATTTGGTTTATTTTGAGTGTGGGACAGATAATACCATTTACATCAATGATCGAATACCACATTACTTTTAGCTAGGAAAAAAGAGGGAAAGAAAAGAATTACTTATCACAACATATCCAGGTGATCATGAGAATCAAACTTACTGTTAGATATCTGTCATCTGAAAGAGTACCAATTATATTTTGGCATGCATATGCACGCGTGTAGAACCAACAAGAGGGATCACCTTCCAAAATAGCTAACTAAACTACAATATTCCATCGTGATAAGTAGAAAGAATAACTTAATTAAAGACTAAGGACCAACATATCTATATGTGATTCGAAAGAGTTACAAGAAATGTTCAATTTGTTAAGTGTTACTTGAAGGACAATAGTGGTAGTTCTTGCAGTAAGAAAGCACGAATAGCAGTATCATCCAACGCGGACTCTGTTGAAGGGAAGACAGTATCAAAGTGCTCGATTAACTAACGAGACGTTCTAATGTATTCATCTTCATCATAATTTCGTTGAGCTTCGAAAGTAGCTGATCTTTTTGACTTCTGGATGATCCCCTCTAACTCCATTGCCACTTCGTTCATCGTAGGTCGATTTCTTCCATTCAAATTCAAACATCGCTCTGCAATTTTGGCAACTATTATGATCTCTTCTTTTGGAGCGTCTTCAAGAACTTGAGCATCAGAAATGTTGAATAGAACGTCTTCCTCCATTTCCATAATGAAATATGAAGCTAAATTTCTTCCTTCTTCTGACCTTGTTTGAGATATTGCTTTTTGTCTGATCAACAACTCAACAAGAACCACCCCAAAGCTGTAAACATCACTTTCTCTGTGAATTGACTTGATTGGAAATATTCTGGATCCAAGTAACCAAATGTTCCGCATACTTGAGTGGTTAGGTGAGTTTGATCTAAGGTAATGGTTCTTGATGTCCCAAAATCTGCAACTTTTGCTCTATATTTTTCGTCAAGGAGTATGTTTGTAGACTTGATGTCTCAGTGATAAACGGGAAAAGATATTTCTGAATGCAGGTAAGAGACAGCGCCTGCGACCTATATTGCAATTTGTAATCGCATTTTCCATGAAAAAGGAAAGTCCTCTTTCTGGTCGTGAATATATTGATATAGGGCCCCATTTGGTATGAATTCATAAACTAGCATAGGAACTTCTGTCTCAAGACAACATCCAAACAATTTAACTACATTCCTATGATTGATTTGCAAGCATCATTTTCAACATTGTTACCATTTTTCTTGTTTCATTTTTATTTTGAGTTATTTCTACAATTTTAGAATTAGTTTAGTTTCTTTTTTCCTAGTTTCCAGTATTAGTTTGAGTTCGTTTACTTTATTTGTATTTTCAATTGCCTATTTAAAGGCTTCCCCAATATCATTATTTTTAGTTTTTGATGATTAATAAAAATATATTCTTTGAGAGTTCTCTCAACATATCTATTCTAATATTCTCAGTATTTTGATTGTGATTGATGCTTATTTTCCTAACATTTGCGAGCGAATCAACAGGTTAATATAAAGCTTATTTTTTGATATTCTAATTGAATCAACAGAACTTTTGATATTTTAGAGTTTGTTATTTCTGTACAACTGTCATTTAGTTTTACTTAGCTGTAATTATTTTGTTAGTTTGTTAGCTGTAATGCTGTAGTATATATATGTATGTACAGCGTATTGAGAAAGATTGAATAAGAAAATTCAATTTTTTCTCTCTTCCATTTTTTGTCTATTTTCATAATATGGTATTAGAGCAATCTTTTGCTGCTCAATCTCTTCATCAATCGCTAGATCTTCTTCGATTCTTTTCTTGATTCATCTCGAATCTTTGGTTCTTTGATTCCTTCCAAGCAGATTGTTGATCTTCGTTTTTCATCCTAATTTCTGTAGAAACTCTAAAATCAGGTGGTTCCATTGCGTCAATCGATAAATCTGCCATTGATGATCCTCAAAGTCCTTAAAAACTCTACCATTCAGACAGTCTTGGTCTGGTTCTTGTTTCTCACCTACTGACAGGAGATAACTACGCCTCCTGGAGTAGAGCCTTGACAATTGCCCTTTCACAAAGAACAAGTTAAGGTTTATTGATGGTTCCATCACCAAACCAGAAGGTACTGATTTGAATCTCCTTAGTTCATGGATTAGAAACAACAATATGGTGATTTCTTGGATTCTAAACTCTGTGTCTAAAGAGATATTTACTAGCATTATTTTTTCAGAGTCTGCTTTTGAAATTTGGATTGATCTTAAAGATCGATTTCAACAGAGCAATGGACCTAGAATTTTTCTTAGCATTATTTTTTCAGAGTCTGCTTTTAAAATTTAGATTGATCTTAAAGATCGATTTCAACAGAGCAATGGACCTAGAATTTTTCAATTACATCGAGAATTGGTGAATTATAACTAAGACCAAAACTATGTCAGTGTGTATTTTACAAAACTTAAAACTTCATGAGAAGAACTGAATAATTTCAAGACAGTTTGTACTTGTGGAAAATATACTTGCAGTGGAGTTAAGGAATTTAACTCTTATTATCAGATGGAATACATTATGTCATTCCTCATGGGGCTGAATGATTCTTTTGTTCAAGTTAGAGGTCAATTGCTTTTTTGTACCCTCTCCCACCTATCAACAAGGTTTTCTCCTTGATTACTCAAGAAGAGCGCCAGAGAACAGTTGGTCAATTACATCCAGGCACTAGTTCTGCTAACAAAATGGCATTTGCCGTTAAAAATAAAAACTCAAAAGGATCTGGGAATCATACTGATATTCATTAGCTTGGAAGTGTTAAAGGCCAGAAGAAAGACAGACCTTTTTGCA